TAGTAAAGAATGCAATACTTGAATTGCTTCAAGTTTTTTAGATGACTGTTGTACCAGTTATGCTATCCAGTACCAGAATTAATTATTAAATCTTTCATTTCTATCAGAGATTATATTTTTTACATGTCATAGAATTTGATTCATAATAGTAAGATTTATCTCAGTTGCTGGTTAGGCTTTAAATCCTAAAAAGAGATTATAAAACTTAGTATTTAGCAAATGAGTATTAGGAGAATATGGTAAGAAATCAATATTATGATAAAGAATCAAACCTTTAACAACTGCTTGATTTATTAATATTTTTAATTCAATTAGTTTCCCTTGATATTCAGTTATTTTATTTTGTACTTAGCAATATCTGATTTAGATGCCATATTGAAGAAAAGACCATTATCTGAATCTTCTATTTTAGGTAGCTATAATCTCAAAGATGTTTGAATACATGTAACTGTTACTTGAATTGTCTTATATAATTTATTACGAGTAAAAATTTTCTTAGAAGTACATATATCAATTAAGTCTTTCTATATAAAATGATCATTTGATCTGAAATTCTAAACTGTTTTAATTTTTCTGGGAGGGATATTTTTTTTCTTTATTTTCAATTATTTTACTAATAACAAGTTTTAATAATAATTTCCTTGTATATGTTGGTGTATCTTGATCAATGACAGTAATAATAATAAGTTTTCTTATTTCAGATTACATATGCATTATCACTTGTGCAATCTCAATTACAGAATAGATATTGAGATTCTGCTATACGATTTAGAGAAAATATATTTGTGAGTGTAGGTGAATGATATAATACTTTAAAACCTTTGATTTTATACTTATTAAGTAATTTTTCTATATATTCTATTTCAAATTCAATAGTTCTAGCATCATTTTTACAATTCTCTGTTATTTTTTCTTTTACCTGTATCAGATCTACTAAGACATTCAAGGTTGGACTTTTTACAATTGGTGAATTATTATGTGGAGAATAAAGCATAAAATTGAAAACAGAACTATTTTTTGAAAATAATATTTTCTTTGGATGGATATGCTTATATGATTTTTATCACTTTTATTATATTTTATTTTGATTACCTTTGAGGTATTAAGCATTTGTAAAGAATATTATCAATAATTTTCTTGACTTGTAAATCTACTGTAAATTTTTTACAAATAAGCTCAAGTTAAAAGTAGAGATATGAAGTGATATTTTTTTCTTGTCACTACTACTGGTAATAGTTAATGTTTTGTGATTCCAATCTGAATATATTTCTAGATACACTTTTTTAAAGGAATGACAAAGTAAGTCCTATATTTCTTTAGATATAAGATTAAGTTCGATTTTATTAAATTTTTCTCTAGATAAATCAAAATCAATAATGAGGTGAACTGTGCCATCTCCATCAATGAATTTGTGTAATGAATGTCCTTGCTGTTCACTAAGTATAGTTTCTATCTCATCTTCAGAATTCATATCAAGAAATTGCCTTCAAAGCTTTTTCTTAAAATAGTTGATAATTAAATTAATTTGGTAAATTGGATTTGGTAAATAACATGATTGATTGGCAAATAAAATTGTACGTGTTTTTATTTTTTTATTTTCAAAATAATTCAGATATATGTGCTAAGCACTTTGCATTTTAGAAATTCGAAGTGAAACAATTGGAAATAAAAATAATACAAGGAAATGTAAGTCCGGAGCAATAATTGTGTAATTGATGTTTTAAATATGAAATTATCAAGAACGTAATTTTTTATTGTCATGTGTTCTTTATCAACAACAATCGTTATCTAAAAATCGGACAGACATCCTTTTCCAAAGTTTCGTTTTTGATTTTTTATTTAAAAATATCAAAAACGAAATTTTGTTATCACTTGGACAATAAATTGATATTTGATATATGTGACACAGTGAACTCTGTTTCTAACCACACGTGGTGTGAAAATATTAGCGGTCACGTGAAAATGATTGCGAAAATTTTATTTATTTATTTTGTTTATTTTTTTTAAAAAACGCGAAATTACTTATTTTTAGATCATTTGATTACCCAATCATTGCATTTAGATCACGTGAAAATGATCGCGAAAATTTATTTATTTATTTCGTTTATTTTATTTATTTTTTTTCTTTAAAACTCTTCTAAAAACTAAAAACTTTTATCATTATTAAAAAAATATTGTAAGTATATGTTAAAAATGAATTTTCCTTGGGAAATTATTTCTTTTCAAACTGATATTAACTACTATTCTTTCTTAAACTGTTGCTTTTTCTTTAAATATTACTTCACTTTCCTTTTACTATTGTTGCCTCCTTAATATCAAAATTTTCTTTCCTATGTTTCCTTCTATTTCTTCAATTCTTAGATTCTAAATTCCAAGCAAAAAAATGTATTTTCTCATAACATTTCTCGTACTCTTATTCCTCACACTTCCTTATTACTACCTTCATTACATTATGTTTCAGTACTCTTATATTATTACTCCATTGCTCATCCTTTTATATTACAAAGTTGTTATCAAGGGTGAGCAAAAAGGTCATATGAAACAAACCATTGATGAAAATGAGGAAAGTAATTCTGATGATGGAGGTAGTGAAGATGAAGATGAAGATGAAGGTGAAGATGAGGATGAAGATGATGGTGAAGATGAAGATGATAGTGGTGAAGTGGAACTCTATTTTCGTGCATTTGTGGTTCGAAAATATGTCCGTGTCAATTATGTCAGAAAAAATAATTAAATTGTATATATCACTTTTTTTCTTGAAAAAAAAATAGCTACTATAATAATATTTATACACTTTTTTAATTATTTATATTTAGATGTTCTTCTATGTCCTTGTAATCTAAGATCCATTTATTCAACTCATAATATGAAAAACTTTTTTAAGGCTTTTTTTTATAATTTTTTTCTTTATTTTATTATCTTACTTATTTTGTAATCCGGGGCTATTGGGGCACATGGCTTTAAGGCCACCCTGGATTTTTATTTTTATTTTAATTTCTTTTCTTGGTTTTCTTTTTGGCTTTTCGGTTTTTCTTTTCTGGTTTTTTTTGATTTTCTTTTTTGGTTTTTTTTTGGTAATCCGGGGGTTATTGGGGCACATGGCTTAAGGCCACCCCCGGATATTTTTATTTTATTTTAATTTCTTTACTTTGATTTTTTGGTGATCCGGGGGTCATTGGGGAACATGGCTTTTAAGGCCACCCCCGGATACTTTATACATTGGCACCTAGAAATAACTATATAATAAATTTAAGAGATTATACTTGATAATGAAATTAAATATTTAATAGTAATATTAATGTTTGGCGTTTGATATGGTCTATTGAGAGGAGTTTCGTTGAATGTATTTTAAAGTAATGACTCCGGGATTGTAAAATGAATGAATTTTAATATTTTAATTATTTGGTGCTTCGAAATTTCAACTGTAACATTACAATCAGTAGGGTCTTTAAGAAGTTAAGTCAGGTCGTAATTTAATGCTTCTAATATGGATTACGAGAAAAATTATTTAGATGATTAATAATTAATAATGATTTATAATTAAATAAATAAATAAATTTTAAGATTTATAAGCCTTTCATTAATAATTTAAGAAGGATGGATTACAATTGAATCATTGGACAAAAGTTTTTTCTGATGAAGCTAATTTAGGTAAAAAATAATTTATTCATTTATATATATTAATTTATTAATTTAATAAAGAAAAACAATATTTTTATTAATCTTTCTCCAATTACATATATATATATTATCGAATCAAAACATAATAAAAGTGTTGACATATTGAATAGACTGATGAAGATATCAGAAATATTTGACATGTAATGATAATAATAAAAAAAAATGAATAGAAGATTCTTAATATGATTTTTAAGATTTATGGTTATTCTGGATCGTTTTGCAAATAAGGAATGAACTATGGAAGTGAGTATTAAATTAAATTAAATGAATAATTAAATTACATTATTATTATTTAAAATATAAATGATTATATTTTATTATTAGTATTTGAAAGATTGGTAATTTTCGGTGTGTAAAAAGATTTTTCAAGTGCGACCAATGGTTCCAGTACAGCTGACAAACCCTTATTGCATTGAATAGTTATGATAAATGTAAATTACGCCTTTCATTCATTACATTCATTCGTTCAATAATTTCGCTATTTTTTTAATTTTCATTAATTTAATATTTCAATTAAATAAATATAGCTAAAGAAGAAAGAAGAAAGAAACATCTTTGATTATTATACAGTCGATCGTCCTAACAAATACAGGCAATGCTCACATTGATCTATTATTACTATTATTATTATTTATTAATTATAGTTATTATTTTTTTTATTATGAATTAATTAATTGTTATATTATTATAATTATTGAAATTACAATAGAAAGATGAAGAATTATTAGAGGAATATGAGCGTATAGAACAGAATGAGAAAGATTTGCCAAAGAACGAGAAAATCTTATTAAATTATTTAGTTTTTCAGGAAATTGTCCAGTTACTTAAATCAACCAACATTAATAACTATTAATTACAATGATTAGTAATAATATTTAATAATAATATTTAGTAATGACATTTATTATTATTATTATTATTATTTTATTTTAGCCCAAGTGGAAGAAATCAATTCTTAACAATCCAACAACTCCAACAATGAAAATTACCAATTAAATTTCCCATGATCCAATGGATTCATTATCTACAAAGAAAAATTGACGCAAAAAATCTTCATCTATTGGGGCATTATATATTTTATTATATAATTTTTATTTATTAATTTATTTATTTGTTTATTTTTACTTCATCTTATTTATTTATTTTATCTTATTTATTTTTTTTATCTTATTTATTTTTTTTTCGTTCTTTTTTTCGTTTTTTTTTTTTACTAATTTTATTATAAATATTATTACAAAATAATATAATTATTTTTATAATTATTATTATTATAAAATATCATTAATAATACACAGTTCATTCACCTGTTGAAGTTCATAATGCACCAATCACAGAAATTTCCTCCGGGTGTAGTTGTTAGAAGTTTAAATATACCTTTACCTAAACCTAAACAAGTCAGGGCTGTTAAAGTAACAAGGACATTACAAGAATTTGGATTAGGTAAGTTTAATGATAATAATGATATTATTATTATTTATTATTATATATATTATTATTTATTATTACTAATTTTATTATTATTATTATTATTTTAAAATATCATTATTTTATTATTATTATTATTATATAATTATAGGCCGCGTCCGACGATTTCAACAGAAATAATTTGTGCTCGTTGATAGAATTACAAAAGGCCATAAAAGCATTATTAGAAATAAAGAAAAGAGTAGATAAACATGAATATGAATTAAAAATTAAATTAAAAAAGATAAGCTCGGGCATTTAATTAAATGGATCACCTAAATCAATTGTTGGTGGAAATGGTACTCCAAGAAAAGCTGATAGTGATAGAACAAAGAATGGTAACGAAGCTGGTAAGTTTATTATAATCATTATTAAATCGTTGAAATATCGTAAATCTTGTTGGATGCTGAATTAGATTAATTATATAATATATTTTATATTTATTACAGTTACAGAAACGAGATTGAATTATTTTGTCTCATCTCTGAATGTTAAAAGTGCTCACAAACAATATTGTGATTACTGTGATTACAGTGATTTGTTGTTATTGTTATGGTTTTGTGAAATTTAGACAATATTATGATGACCATATTGATTATAGGGATAGTATTGTGATTATTAAAACATTACTTATTGTTGTGACGTAAGTGGCATATTTAAGATATCATTTATTGAGAAAATGTTGAAACTTAAGTATAAGCAATAACGATATCGAAAAAATAGATTATATACAAATTTAAATTTCACAATAATAAAAAAAAATATTTATCATTTTTATTTAATAAAATCAAATTTCTAAAAAAAAAAGTAAAATTAAATGAGTATTGCTAATTTTAACTGATGAAAATTTCTCTTGGGTGGTATATCAATGTGAAATAGTTTTTAGACCCAAAAAAATTGTCCTTAAAAAAATATAATATTGCCGTTCATTTCTGGATTATTTAAAGTTGATGGAAGTTTCCAAAAAGTTTCTCAAAAATTTAAAAACTATAGTGATTTAATTGTCCAATTCATAAGTTATCTGATGCCCCGAAGATGAGATATGATGAACCAATTAGACCATTATATAAGTCATTAACATTAATTTGCGATAATATTTTAAATATGTAATTTTATTCCGATTTCTCATGTCAAGAAAAATTCTTAACAAAACTCATTAGTGTTCAAAACATTTAGAAAATCTATCAATTGGTACTAGTTATTATCTAGATTGTAATGGGTTATTAGTCAAAAAGAAACATTAAAGTCTTCGTTTAAAATCAGTAAATTTTTTATTTCGAGTGGAAATAATCACCAATTGGACAATTTATTTCACTTCAAGAACTTTATATTAATAGTTTATCATTTGCATCATCACTTACTCAATTAAGTAGTTTTCATATAATCATACATATGCGAAGTATCCTCAATCAAGAATTTATTATAAAATTCTTGAAACAGCCAATAAAAAACTAAGGATTTATTTAAATTTATATACGTAAGGAGATTTTCATTTGGTTGTGGACTAATAAATTATTTTGTCAAATGACTTTTATTAAAATTAGAATAATTTATAGAGATCTATAGATATTTAGTGCTGATAATTTAAGAAGATTTTTTGAAGGGTGGTGTTAATAATCATATTTTAATTTGACATTATATTATCTAAATAATTGAACCACATTCTTTAATACGTAACTTTAAAAAAAGTTCTTCTTCCTACTTAATAATAGTATTTGCATGTTTAATTATGTGTTTCATTGAATTATTTATTATTTGACAACGCTATATGAAATTTATTCAACTTTTAAATAATAATTTTAGTAATGAAAAATTATTTATTATTTATTAACTTTTATTGTTTGATAATCTTTGATTAATTTATATGATTTTATCACTTTTAAACTCAAATTCCACCTAAATCAAAAATTAAATTGATTACTTAACATTAAATTAAACTAATTTAACGTTAATTATTCTAATATCAAACATAACATAATAGTTAAATATTATGTTATCATCTGAGGACAAGAAAAACTCAATTTGATAGTACTCTAGTTTTCTTTGTTTCATTATATGATTTGTAATAAATCAGAATGATCTCTAATATTGGATGATAATTTGAAAAGAAATATTACTATAAAAAGGAGAAAAAACTTTGTGGCTTCTTGATCTTGACTCTACAAGAGACTTAAAAAAATATTAACATATGTGTCATAATTATATCAATAAGTTTATAACTTTTGTAAAAAAATTAAATGTTAAACTTAAATTAAATTATTGAACACCATTTGTCATTATTTATGAGAGCTCGCAAACAATAATTCTTTATAGGATTAGTAATTACCTTTATTCTGCCTTTATTACTTTTATTGCTTTTATTTACTTTGTAATTTCGAAAAAAATTATTCATTTTATTAATAACACCTAATATACCTATTTGCAAGTTTGTTGCAATAAATTTAAATATTAATAATGACATTCTTGTCTGAAACAGATTATTCTTTAGAATATCACTAATGGAATAGACATTTAAAATACAATAAACATATATCCCATCTATCTCTGAACATAAAATTTCGAATTCTCAAAATAAGTTCTGTTGTCGCATAATCAAATTATACTAATCATTATTTCTCTTTTTAATAGACTTTAATTTATTTTTAACGATCTAACGATGAAAAGAATTGATAGTCATTTAGAAGAGACATCATTAACGTCTTTTTTTTTCTAGAATAATAATGATTTACTTGTTTTATAATTTCTATTATTTCTTCTTTATCACCATTATTGTTATCATCTTTATCTTTATTTTCATTTTCTAACCCTATTTGTTCATTTTCATAAGTATTTAAATTGGAATTACTTGTTTCTGTATTATAAAATTCTGATGATATGCTAATATATTCTTTTTCATTTATACAAAACTCATTGACACTATTTAAATTGTCTATAAAATTTATAGAAGGGAAAGAAAAATGGGAATTAAAAGGAATGTTGTCTTCTTTTTCAGAAATTTTTGATTATTCACAAATTATAAAAAAAGAACAAAACTAAACTCGAGATGCAAGTTATTAATAACCTCTTTTTCACATTTGATTGTGAAAATGCCTGTTTGAAATCTTATAGTTTTGTAAATAATATCTGGTAAGACAAGATTTTTGTACGTTAATATATACATCAAGTTTGGTAATTTTTCGTTTAAAAAAGTATTGCTTCAAGTAATAATATGTCATTTTTTATTCGATTATTTTAAAAATTAATATACAATTACTCCAAGCCAATAAAATACTATGTGTAAAATTTTAGGTTATCTTAATATGAGCAAAAAAAAAGTTTTATTAACAATGATCAGCATGATATAAAATTTCACTAATTAAATTACCTCACTATGCAGATCACCGAAATGTACAGACTCTTATCCTATGTCACCTTTGGTGTTTAGTTCATGTGACAGATTTTAGGTGACAAATATGGTTTCCACATGTAAAAAAATTCCGAGTTCCTAGGATATTTAATAACATGGGAAGAATAGGATAAGAATCTATACCTCCTGGAATAGGTTAAGATTTCCGTAACCAACATATTTCATTAATTACATATAATTTTGATTATTATAATAATAATCGAAAACTTTAAATCACACCATTGGTGTTAAACATTTTATTCTATACCGCAGGAGTTAAAGTTAGAGTTTTTCAAGGGTAGTTTATTTATCACCGTGTGTCACGCCCTTCAAATATCAATTTTATTAGACAATTTTTTTTACATGCGAAAACCTAATATTTATAACACGTGAAATAATTTCTATCACCTGGAAGTCATGTGTCTAAAATTAAACCATGTACTTTATTTTTATTGGCAGATAATCACACAGGTGTTGAACATCACTGGTGTGATTTAACCATTATTAATAATTATCAAGAGGAGAATTTATTCTAATTGTGTTGATATCTTAATTTTTCATTAATTAAATTATCATGTGAGTTACGTAATAATTAAGACAATATCTATTTGTGTTGATACATCTCATTATTACAAGATATTAAATGTTTGAATTTCAGAAATCAATAATGGTGTGAAGTATTGGAGATATCAATGAAAATTCTTAAATGAGTAAAGCAATAAATTAATTTAATATGAAATTTATATTATATAATAATCCATTTTAATTAATTATTTCTTTATTTTATTATAGTTAATTCTATTTATCAATTATACAACTTATAACTTTATATACTTTATACTATATTTAATTATTTAATTCTATAACAAAAAAAGTTACCCATTTACAATGCCATGAAACCAACAAAGAACTTTATGTGCATGTTTAAATAACAGCAAGCGTAGAGGTAAAGAAACGGAATTAGATTTCTTATTGTTAGGTTCAAATTCTCTATCTGATCCAGTTCATTATTTGCTTCAATTCTGAAGATTAATCTTTAATTATAGTTATTTATCAATATAGACCAATAAATTATATTGGACTAATTTAACGAATTTAGATGATTCGATTAAATTAACTGAAAAAAAATTATTATTTATTTAAAATTGTGAAATTAGTCAAATGAGTGAATTTACTATACCAGTTATAACCTATGTACGATTATTGCAGTATACATATATTCAGCGTATTAAACAGTTTATTGATTAAATAAATAGTTTGGAGATCTTTTTTGAGAAATCGTTCCTTTTGGAAAAAAGGAAATGATTGAAAAATAAAACAAAAATAAAAAAATTTAGACCTAAAATGAATTATTTTTCATTTTTTTTATTTTTTCGTGTTGGGATTTTTTTTAATTGGTAAAAGAGAACCATAATGACAAGTCGCCTGAAATTCATGAATTTCCCTTTCGTATGATCAATTTTTTCCTTTTACAATCACCATTTCGTTTTTGTAGGATTTTCAAAAAATAAATAGCCCATTGGCATAAAAATAAATTTTTATTTTCATACGATATGGTTGTGTTTTTCTCTTTTGACGATAAATAAAAAAAAATCAGTCATTTTGAAACTTATAATACTATTGTTAATTCTATTTAATAACAACTAATAACTTTATTTTTATTTAATTGTTTAATTACTGTATATGCAAATATTTTTTTTATGCTTGTTTAGAATGTCAGCAGCAAAGAGATAAAGGAAAAGGTTTGGATTTCTTATTTCTAAGTCTACAAGAATAAGACAGAGAAAAATTGATTAGGTTCAAGTTTTTACTCTGATTCGGGTTCATTATTTGCTTAATGAATCTTTGATTATAGATATTTATCAATATGGAAATAT